TATATATATATATATATACACATACATACATATATATTGCATGTTACTGTGCACAGAGGCCTAGTTATAAGACATTTTCTTTTATATAATACACTTTTATCAACTGTTATGATGAATGCTTGCTAAATTTGAGTATAGAAAATATACACTTGAATTTAGCAAGCATGAATATATACTTCATGGCAAAAAAACTGCAACACTAACTAGATTGGCTAGCTTAGAAAATCTCATGGAAATGTACCTCTTCAATCAGGTAACATCTACACCCCATAGAAGGCTGCAAGTCTCTCTTTGAGTGGAAGGGGAAACTGGTCAGAAAAGTGTATCCAATTCTCATCTCCAACCTGGTTCTTAAACCCATGCAAGATCTAACAGGGAACACACACTTAAGTATGAGGCATGCATCCATAATCATCTTGAAGGTTTTCCCATCTCACAGCGCTCTAACCTTATAGAACATTTCTCGAAGATCGTCTTTTGGGTTCACCCAGGATGCAACAGCGTCACAGAAAAATATGAAGTCCTATAAAGTGGTAAAGAAAACAAAGAGGATCATTTTCAATTATCAAAGCACTCCGAGAGATATCAGTCAGAATAATGTGCTGTACCTGCACCACACCACCAGGGTTGACCGTGATCATGGTGCAGATTCCTCTGAACGCAGAGTCTTTCTCTTCATTGTCTCTTATATTGCGCAGAGAGGTGCACCTAGTCAAGGGAAGAACCAGTTTTCAAATAACAAGCCTGTGCGGTTAGTGTGCATGTGGATTGACACATACTCAACACAATATCATGACTACCACCTCAGAGCACCTTGGGACAGGTCAATCGAGAAAACCAAATTTTTATCTTCTTTATAAATAAAACATTCTCTTGTTGAAACCAAAAAGTCGTTTTTTTGTTTTACCTGAAGTTTAGTTTCTTGCAATATTTCCTGACAACCCCTTACTAACATCTTTTTTTTTTTTTATTGTTAACATTATTAGTTCTTAATCATATGCATCTACCTCCTTTTGTAATTATGAATGTTTATAAAGATCTTTAGCTGCTTTTTGCAGTAAAACAACCTACCTAGATGTATTCTTTATAAGACAAATACAATGTCCATATAGCACCATGTATTCTGCCAGCTTATAGCGTTAAACTAGTGCAAATTTGGGGGCAAGCATTCTGGGATAGAATCATGCAGCTAAAAGACTCTGCATCTAATGGGGA